TCCCCCCTGAGCTTCTGTACTGCACCCCTCTGCCTGTTTCCTGTGAAAAAGCAAAAGAGGAGCGATTGTCTCTGTGGTACAGGAGTAAAAATAACAATGAACGGCCCTTTACCGTCCACAACTCAGTTCTTATTGGTTGTTGTGAAGACCTGTTCAAAAGATACGAATCGTTTGCAGACTTCACATCTTTATTCAGGATAAACTCAAGGGCAAAAACCCAGACTCAATTCAGCAAAAACATGCAGAAGGTTTTTTTTTTTGTGTGTGTGTGTGTGTGTGTGTTCATTGTAATTATAAACAGATAAAACATTACAAACAATTGTTTTAATCAAATTCCTTTTTAACAAATCCTCCTCCATCAAAGTGGAAAATCTATGCAAGGTGTGGGATTTATTTTTTGAATTAGAAAAGAAATACAGAGCATTTGTAAACTCTGAGATCACATCAGCAGCAAACTGGGKAAAATCCAGACTGAGCAGGTCTGCAGAGAAGGAACAAACTGGATCAAGGATACATTCAGAGGGAAGTGATCCTTCTTTTCAAGCAGAAAGCATCCATGTATACAGTAGCTACTGAAGACTGCTTCTGAGGCTGTGTGAGCTGTGTGTGTGCGTGTGTGTGTGTGCCTGCATAAAGAATGTCAGTCACGGTAACTTTTTGTGCTGCATGCATGAAGCTCTTGACATGAGACTCAATCAGCAGCACTAAAGCCTGCCTCTGCCTCCTGTGCTTCTGCCACCCTTACTTCTGAGGAGACTAATCTCCACTGTAGGATGTAGAGGAGCCGTTTGATATTGTCTTCCCCGGTGTTTTTCATTATCACCGTCTTACTGCAGCTCGCCGGTGGCATTACCTCGACATTAATGGGCTTGACGGGACGAGAATCACCACACAATCCTGTCACAACCTCCCATCTCTGCCTTAACTCGGCTCGCGTTTCAAAGCCTCTCTCCTCACATCTTTCACCTTCCCTTTTTTTCTGCTTTGAGCTGCATCTGCAGCAGGGTCACGGACAAGATTTTTCAGTAAATTACTTGTCTTGTCAGAACCCAAAAGGTATCTAGGGCTGACATTAGTCTAAGAAGAACTTGTGGCTGATTAAAAAAAAAACAGAAAATTCATTGTAAAGACTGAAAAATACACAAAGACAGTTGTTATTTCTGCAAAGGTGCTTTAAAAGGACAGTCTGGTCACTTTTTTACAATAATTTTTTGCTTTTTCCATCCCTTGTGCTTTTGTGTTTCTTCTTTTTCAACATTTCAACTGAAACTAGAGAAAAATGCAGTGTGAATGCTTGATGCTGAAAGATTTTTTTTTCCCTAAAAGCTGCTGGAGAAGCTGAAAATGTTTAATAGCAAAACCGTTAAATTTGAACAGATGAATTTTGCTCAAAGTAGGAAAACAAATGTTGACAGAAGCAGAAACGATTTGAAATTAGCAGACAGATGAACACAGATTAAAAAAGCTTGCATTTGCAGAAAAACAAGAAAATGAGTAAAAAAAAATATGTAATTTGTTGTAAAACAGCTAAACAAGCTGAAATTAGCAAAAAGACACAGAAAAGGCACATGCTGGATTAAGGAAGCTGAAATAAAACAAAATTTGAGTTTGCATTTAAAAAGCTCAAATTAGATGAAAATAGCTACAAAGTGTACKAAAGCTGCAGAAATCAGCTGAAGGAAGCATAAAAAGCTTAAATTTTCAGATGATCTGAAAGGACCTGAAGATGGCTGAAAAAAAGTTTAATTAGATGAAAATAAAATAAAC